CCGAAATGGCTGTGGGGTCCCTGCTGAGGCTGTGGACACCCAGGAAATGGGGAAAAGGTGCTCCAAGTTGGCCAGAGGCTGGGAGCCAAGGCTAGCAGAGCATTGCCTGTCTTGGTCCCTGGCATCTCAGGGTCTTTCCTTTCCAACACGTTGTCCTGGAGGATGTGCAGAAGGTTGTGAGCACAGATGCGGGCAGTTTTTCTGTGAATGTGGGGTAGACAGAGGGGGGCTTGCCTCTTCATGCTGCTCATGGCCCCGCTGCTGCCTCTCCCCAGTGCTCGAGGACAGACTGTCACTTCAGCAGAAGGAGGCGAAGGAGAATCGGTGCCGACTCCAGGAGGCGGTGGCTAAACTGGAGGCCAGGCTGGATGAGCAGACTAGGCTGCTGGAGCAGGTGAGCCCACCCTGTGTCCTCTGCCTGGCTCAGCCCACCTGTCTGGGGATGGGCCATGGGTCTCGCTCACTGGAGGTCCTTGGCCTGGAGCCTGCGAGTGGCATCTGTGTCTCCTCTGTGTCTGAACCCAGGAGCGACAGAGGGTGTTTGCGGAGCGCTCCAGAGCAGAATTGCTGGAGGAGGAGCAACAAGTCTTGAACCAGCAGCTCTCCGCAGAACAAGCAGAGCTGGAGAGGATGAAGGTGAGGTGGGGCGGAGATTTGCAGGTGCTTTTCACAGGTCCTGTGAGTCTGAGCGGGGCTGCACTGCAGTGTGTGGTGGAGGAAGGAGCTGGGTGCTGGGCTGCAGCATCCTTCCTCTGCCTCCTCAATCCCACACCCAGTTGTGTGGTGAATCGCCTTCAGACCAACCTTCTGGCACACAGGTGCGAGAGGCTGCTGTGTGTGTGCGTGGTGGTGCAGCTTCTGGAGGAGCGTGGGGCCAGAGATTTCCGTGCAGGGCTCCCCCCAGGCACTGGGGGTTTGAAGCAACCTCTGGGTGTTGGCTGTGGTTCATTGTTTTCCCCTGTGCCCATCCTAGGAGCGGGCAGAACTACAGATCCAGGTCCGCATGCTGAGAGCCAGGGAGGAGCAGCTGGAGAGGAACAAGGAGCTGCTGGACAAGACCTGGCAGGAGCTGAAGGCGGAGAGGAAGAATGTAAATGGGGCTGCACTGCGTGTGCAGCAGCAGGAGGAGGAGATGAGAAGCATGACCGAGGTAAGCAGAGCATCTGCATTGCCTTTCCCGGCTGCAAACGGGCTGGCAGCAAAGCTGGGCTTTCCCAGCCCTCCCAAAGCAGGGAGAGAAAGCCTGTCCTGGAAGGGGAAGGGGAAGGGGGGGATGCCCAAAGGAGTCCTGCTGGGCCCAGGGCAGCGAGGGTCCCTGTGCCCAGCCTCCCCAGCCACTCTGCCTTGCAGGTCTCCTTCCAGAAGTATAAGGAAGGGCAGCAAGCCCTGCAGGAGGCACAAAGAGTCGAGTCCCAGCATGAGTCCAGGCTCCAGGCCCTGCAGCAGCATTTAGATCGGGTCCGGCAGCAGGAAGAGTGTCTGCACCAGGCAAATACCCCCTTGCCTTCCCTTCTGGGCCTGGAGCTGCCGTGCCAAGGGCCCGAACCTTTGCCAACAGCTTGTCTCTCTCCCTTTCTCCCCGGGATGGCGCAGGATCGGCTGAGCATGGCTCAGCAGAGGAGCCAACTTCAACAGCTGCGCCAGGAGCTGTCCAACAGCCCCATGATGGTGCAGACCCCAGGCCGGAACTCCAGTGCCCCTCTGACAGGCTCCTCCAGTGTGCCGGGTAAGGCTCTGTGCTTGCTGCTGGTGGGGAGGGACATGCTGGGGGGCAGCTGCACTTGTATTCCCCTTCTTGGGAGGCTTGGGCTGTTCCTGGGGGCTGTTTTAGTTCCCCTGCGTATCAACCTCAGACGGGAGGAGTTGGCCTCCTCGTCTTGTGAAGGAGCTCAGCGAAGCTCTGAGCCAGGGCAGTGACAGGAGAGGGCAGAAGGGCCAGGAAGGGAGAGGCCGGTGGGTTAAAGCCCCTTTGCCCTGGGAGCGTGGGGAGGACCCTGCTGCAGGGACCTGCAGGCAGCACCCAAAGGGATGCTGTGTCGTCTACATCTACGGTTCCTCTGATGGCAGCAGCATCACACAATTGGGCTTCTCTTCAGGCTTTCCACCTGCCATCGGGAGCCCGGGAGGTATCCAGCAACTCCTGGCCAGGGCCAGCTCCACCGAGTTTAGTGCCTGCCACCGTGGTGATAATGAAGTTCCGATCCCTTCAGGTGAGGTGGTGGGAGACCGGGGCGGGAAGGGGCTTCAGACCCGCTGCGTGGGAGCAGGGCTGGGTGAAACCTGATTTGAGCCTGATAGGAGACAGCCCAGGCTGTGGCTAAGATCATTACTGAGCTGTGGAGCTGGGTGGGCTTGTAGAAGCCCTGGACCCCTAGAGGAGTGATGGCAGAAGCAAGGACGGGTGGATCCTCACAGCTGGTCTCAGGCTGATGGATAACGTCCTCCATGGGGTTGCCCTTGTCCTCACCCTGTCCCTGGCTGGGAGAAGCCAGCTCTGCTGGCCTCTGGCTTCACAATGTCCCCGTCCTCTCCCGTCAGCCCCTGAATTCCCTGCTGGGTCCTTCCCCAGGCAGGACTGCTCTTCAAGGCCGCCTGCTGGGGGTCTTGCTCAGAGCGTGAGGTTGTGGGCTCAGGGCAGGGGGAGCCCCCACACCCCAGGGGGTACCATGGATGGTCTCTGCCCACTGCTGACTGCAGGAGGGAGGGTTTGGGATGCTTCCCTCCCTCCTGAGTGACACCCAGGACTGTGAGCCCTCTTCTGTGGCACTCTCTGATACCTCTTCCATCCAACTCTCTCTTCTCAGGACAGTTATTACTTCGAAAACGAACAGCTCTTCTTGCAGTCCCTGAAGAAAACTCCCTACAGAGTTGTTTCTCTGGCAAGCTGAAGGGGTGGCATCCCCACGTCATGTCCAGGGGATGGCTGAGCAAATAAACCCATCTTCACATGTTGAGGAGTGTTCCTGTATTTATTGAGGCCTGGGTGCTTGGTGGGCCTTTCCACAAATGAAGCACAGCAACAGCAGGTTTTTGTGCTGCTTTTATACCCCAAAATCAAAGGGTTTTCCAAATACACCTATTAAATACTGACTGGTTTGTGATTAACATACTTCATGCTTCTACTACTATGTGTGCTCAGGGAAAGGGTCTCAACCTGGGCAGCGGTCTTTTTGACCTCTGTGTGTGTGTATTTTAGTATTATAGTGAGGGTAGTTCACTTCCAGGACACCCAAAAGTTGTTTCATTGCCACATGAATTTAATCGGTTGTTCACTGTGCCAGGTTGTCCCCTATTTCATCCTCAGTCCAATCCCAGGCCTTGTCTTTACGTTGCAAGGTGTTGCCCTTGTTTTCTAGGCTTTGGAGATCAAAGTCTGTCCTTGATGAATTTGTCATCACTGCTGTAGGTTGTCTTGAGCACGTTTAAAGTGCCACTTTGCCGAGGTTCCAAAGCTGGTAGGTGTTGCCATGAGTGCGGTAGCTGTAGGCACTGGAATGATCCTTTCCCGCGGCTACGAGCAGCTGTGAAGCAGACTGTAGCGGGAGCCAGAGTTCGTCGGGCCTCCATCTGTCGGGGTGCCAGCAGGGGCCGCTCTGGCTGCGGGCTGGGCGTGGGGCAGAGCAGTAAGGGCGGGTGCCTGCGGGGCTGTGGGGAGGTTTGTGTCAGGCGCTGTGTCGGGCAGCCCCGTTGCGGTGGCAGCGGGGGCCTTGCAGGGCGGTCGGTGCGCGGCGCA